GTAGACAAAATTCGATTGATAATTTTTTATTGGTCCCTAACAACTGGTCGTGAAAAAACTTCACTTTTTAAAGTATCTATATATAAAGTTTTGATTAAAACCACTGACAATCGCCTGTTCTGATAAACGACTGAATAATAAAGTGCAACTTATGCTCAAGTAAGCGTTAGAAAACATTTCAAAACTGGGTGTCTTTCATCGGTACTCTGCGCTCCGCTCGGCTTTCACTCAGCGGTATCAGTACGAGTTTGAATTAATTGCTACGCATCCAGTTCCAAAGATTATTTTTCGAATCGAACAGCTTTTTTTTCAATGCGCAGTACTTGTAATACAACCCTAAGCTAACATGTCCTCTGACGCAATTGTGTTGGGCTTTTTTTTTGCACCAATATAACAAGTAACCCCTAAGGTTCGAGCAGCGTCCGTGCCTTTAGTTTTCTATAAACGATTATATTTAAGGTCAACCCTTGAATTTTTCAAATTTATAAAAAAAAAAATATTTCTATTTTTGACAGTAATTCATAATGGTAATACTGTTCTAAATGGGTCTCGGTAGTGATTGATGAAAAGCGACAACTAATTTTATGTTACTCTTATAAGGTAATCGTGGGTTTTACAGGTCACTTGGCAACTTAGTTATAATACTATATACTTGGAAAACTGTAGAATTTGACGTAAACGTGAAAAGTAACCACAGCCATTTTGTCTTACTATTTTGATTTTGTATATGTTCACAATGTTTAGCCCCTTTTCTAATTCGTTTCTTTTTGGATTATAATGAATTTTGATTTTTTTTCAAAATATAGCTAATCGCGTTACTTTAAAATTTTTTTTCAATTAACTTAGAATCTCATTTGAAGTAAAATAATATTTTTTGCTAGTTCTTGTTTTCTATGTATTAGCCTAAAATATGCGAGGTCAAAAGTAAAGTATGCCACCTTATGACCAAAAATTGTCCAAAACGACCAAAACTGGTTAAGTCTCTGGTTCGGTTGACTTTTTACCGAAAATATCGGTCAATGTGAGAAATATATAATTGAAATTCAGAGAGTAGTATAGTTTGTCTGTATGTCAAAAATGGGTTAAATCGGGCGAATAGTCCCCTTAGCCCTTATATACCTAACATAAATTTTTGAACTTTCGGGTGACTTTACCGCATATATCGCCCAATATGTAACTTATCTCAATGAAAATAAGTAATAAGGTTTTACTCATAAGAGTGCCTAAAATAATAAAATATCAGAATTTTCGAGCATCCGGCTGACTGTACTCCATATGATTGGTGATGGTATGTGAGAATGAAACCCTGGTAGCATTTTATTAGTCTGTGGCATGACTATTAACTATTAACTATATGGTATAGGCAAAAATAGATAAAATCGTGTCCCCCAACTCCCAAATACTGCACATAATGCTTTTCGTTTTTCTAACAAGTGTTATGCCGAATATGTCGTTCAATGCCTCCAATATTCCCCATGTAATGACTTCCGTCTTTTTACCTGTATTTAAACCGTTCAGGTTGGTCACAATGTGAGATATTTTAATGAAAATAAATGGACAAGTTTTCTTAAAAATTATGTGGTATAGCGCTGAATTAGAATATAATTAGTCTATAGCTTGGTTTGAACCTCATATCCCTAATATAATATTATATAATGAATTCCGATCCTCTGGTTGACGTTTTCCACATCAACTTAATATATTAAATTTAACCTCTTCGGTCGAGCTAATATCACATCCATATGTATATCTCCTTTGAAGGTGTTTTTAATATAATTTTAGCTGACGCGAACTCAAGTAAAGTAAAACTATGTATAAATTGATGATGTTCAATAAAACTTAAGAAGATACCGAATTTTATTGTAATTTATTCACGATTTCACGAATAATTGATGTTTAATTCTTTCGCAACATTTTTTTATATAAAGGTTGCCAGCACTTAAATGTATAAAATGTTCGGTTACACCCGAACTTAGTTCTTTCTTACTTATTACATTTCTTTATTTTTAATAACTAGATTATATACGAGAGAGCAAAAGCGTTAAGCAGGTCAGGGTCATTCACACCTTTTATGAACTGTTAAAGGAACATAACTTACATACATATGTACATATGCCTTATGTCACTTTCATCGTTGCTGCAACTTCGCTTGCACTTTTTGTAAATTTGCGCGGTTACAAAAATGGCTTTGTAGCCCTAGCCTACTCATTTTCAAATTACAAGTTTTTAAATACATGCAATATTAAAATTAAATTGTTACCAGTTTATTGTTTTTGAATAGTCTTTCCATTAATGTTGGTGACAATAACAACAAAATATGTGCAAAGTTTCAATATATTCTGATTTGCATAAAAAAAATCTTACTTTTTAATTTTTTTTAGTTTGGAAATACCTGTTTTGGCAATAATATTGCGGGTACAGTCCTGATTCGGTAACTTACCGCAGTTAGCTGAATTTCATGACGAACGTACAAATTAATTAAAATCTTTTGAGCACTGCTTTAAATTGTGAACTCGAGTTGTTGTCAAGGATCCTGGTTTCAGCAGTCTTCTCTTCTAAAGCTAAAAGCACGGTTTTATTTTAATGTAATTTTATCAAAATTTTTTATTTGATTATTTAATCGTATTTTACATAGGTTAAAATGATATTAGCATAATAGTGTAAAATTTAAATAAATGATATTGTTTGTACAAAGATATAACAATTTTTCTTAAACAATAAAATAAGGATTTAAAAACGAAAATAATATTCCATCAAAAATTCCTGTAATGAGCATTGCAGCGGCAAACATTCCAGCTTTAACTTGATATTTCGGTTCAACTGCTTGTGGTGCGTACATCATGGCCAAAGAGCTAAAAAATATCATAAATTATTAGGTTGAGTCTATAACACTCATTGCGTTATATGCAACAAAGTATTTTTGGAAGTTTTACATAAATGACAAAAAATCGCACTACTCCCTTCAAAACCATGTACGTGTATACTGATGCAGCAAGTCGTGTAACAGGTGGGAAAACGAAATTCATTGTAAAAAATAATTACCAAAACATGAAAATGGCTGTATACTTGTTTTTCAGTAATGCACATTTGCGCTGCTGTAGCCGTAATGTTTAAAGACGATTTTTTGGTTTGGACGGCTGCCACATAGTGAACTTTGCTCTGACGGTTCAAGACGAAAACGTCCTTATGTTAAAAGAAAAGTTAGGAATAATCCAATATTTCGTGATCGATGTACTTCGTATATATGTCGTATGTACTTTTTTGGATAACAGTTAGGCTAATTCCATATTAAAACCTAAAGGGTGCCCACCAAATATTAAATTTTTTATTTAGCTCAAACCTTCATGTTATTTAAAAAGAAAAAAGTTCATTGCTTCTTTAAATAAGCTAGGACATAAAATTTGGTGTTTTTGGTTTTTAAATTGTTAACAATATTTTTTTTTTTTAAAGTACACTTTCATATCAAGTCATTTCAACTAAATTATTGTATATCGATACAAGATTCTGGAATTACAGCATTCCAAATTTTAATACTGCACCTGCATGACATAAGTGATGAAACACCAAAGCTTTAAAGGAGGAAAATAGTTCCACGAAAACATAACTTCTTAACAAACATTTTTTAAAAACATGTTTACAATATTTTCAACATGGTTGGTTTTTATTACAATAGTTTTGTTCACCTAACAGTTATTTCTAACACCTAAAACTAATCAAGATAATCACAACCACACCAGAAATCATTGAGCAAGTTTAGATTGAAGATGAAGATCCAAGATTGACTAAGCGTGAAATTAATTTTTCATCAAGACAATGCACCTGCTTACAAAGGTGTTTTAAGAATGACAAACTTCAACGAATTATAGTACGAATTGCTTGAGCATCCACCGTATTAGCAGATTTGGCTACTATCGACCACTAATTTTTCAGAAACATGAAACAATTCCTTGGTGGAAAGCGTTTTTCGTCGAATGAAGATTCTTTTACAGCCGTAGACGGGTATTTTCCAGAGTTTCCGAGAAGACATTATAGGGATGCCATGATTTTATTGGAGGATCATTGGAATAAGTGTATTGAAGTTAAGGGAGTTTATACTGAATAAAAAAATATAGTACGATCTATACGATCCAAAAACAATATTTTTTCATTTCGAACGCAGAAACTTTTTAACCAACCTGTATATATATTACTATTTTTTTTTTGCTTGAGATATAAATGATCAGGATGACGAGCCGAATTGAATTCCGGTTGACTGTCTGTCCCTCCGTCCGTGCAACGACAACTTGAGCGAAAACTAAGATATCTTGATGATCGTATATATTTTTGAAGCTCCTCGGCTAAGACGTCGCGTATGCGGGCCGCTTCGTTTCTCTGGTTGGTGGTCGATCTAGGCTCGACTCTATTAATCCTCCTGCACTTTAGCTTACGTGCTTCGTCCTACTGGGTTTTAGTAGTCGGCTATTTGGTGTAGTTGGGGTTGCGTTGCCTACCATTCCTGATGGGTTGGTGTGAAAGGCCGCTGAATGCTGAGCATCTGCCGCTGTCAGCACTACCTAGTGACCTCCGCAGGGCAACTTAGCTCCCATGCTTCCCAGTGTATCTAATCCGAGTATGACGTCAATGAATTGCACCGGGCATAACATGTAACACTGCTTGGAGCCATGACTGTCCGAGTTGGATGTTGGTTTCTACGGCGTCGTAAATCTTGCTGGTGGTGCCGTCGGCCATTTGCATGGCTACGGTTACCATCTTACCACACCGGTTGCGTCCATACGTTATGCAACTCGTGACGATACGAAACTTTTTAAGGCGCCGGTGTCGATGACGGCTTCCGCCGGTTCTTCGCCAAGCTTGATTAAGGCGTATAACCGGCCGCGCTCCTGATGCATAATATTTGCCGGTTCGGCGCTGAGTTCTGTGGGTTCGCCACGTCTTTTCCCTGGCGGAGCTCTCGGCCGTTTCCCTGTCGTCGGCCGCAACATTCTGTGGTGGTCCGGCCGCGTGGCAGTGGTCCGATTACGCCCATCTAAAATAAAAACATTCTTATGGCACCAAGAAACATGTGAACAAAGCTTCATTAAGATATCGCAATTTTTACTCATGTTACACGACGGACAGACAGTCACCCGGATTTCAACTCGTCTCACCATTCTGATCATTTATAATTATAACCTTATATCTAAACGATTATACTTTGTAGCAACATGTTGCAAGAGTATAAAAATTCAAATACATTTTCTACAACGCCAGGCGAAGATTACATAAAAAAATAAAAAATAAAGTTATTATGAAAATAAAGAAACTTTACACCAAGTAAAATATTCTAATATAATAAATAAAATTAATATACACTTTGCGTACATTTCCAGTAGACAAAATTCGATTGATAATTTTTTATTGGTCCCTAACAACTGGTCGTGTATAAAGTTTTGATTAAAACCACTGACAATCGCCTGTTCTGATAAGCGACTGAATAATAAAGTGCAACTTATGCTCAAGTAAGCGTTAGAAAACATTTCAAAACTGGGTGTCTTTCATCGGTACTCTGCGCTCCGCTCGGCTTTCACTCAGCGGTATCAGTACGAGTTTGAATTAATTGCTACGCATCCAGTTCCAAAGATTATTTTTCGAATCGAACAGCTTTTTTTTCAATGCGCAGTACTTGTAATACAACCCTAAGCTAACATTTTTGCATCAATATAACAAGTAACCCTAGGTTCGAGCAGCGTCCATGCCTTTAGTTTTCTATAAACGATTATATTTAAGGTCAACCCTTGAATTTTTCAAATTTATAAAAAAAAAAATATTTCTATTTTTGACAGTAATTCATAATGGTAATACTGTTCTAAATGGGTCTGAGTATGATTGATGAAAAGCGACAACTAATTTTTGTAACTCTTATAAGGTAATCGTGGGTTTTACATACTTGGCAACTTAGTTATAATACTATATATTGAAAACTGTAGAATTTGATCAAACGTAAAAGTAAACACAGCAATTTTTTCTAATTTTGATTTATATGTTCACAATGTTTAGCCCATTTTCTAATTCGTCTTTTTGGATTATAATGAATTTTGATATTTTTGTTAAATATATAATCGCGTTACTTTAACATTTTTCAATTAACTTAGAATCTTCTTGAAGTAAAATAATATTTTTGCTAGTTCTTGTTTTCTATGTATTAGCCTAATATGCGAGGTCAAAAGTAATTCATAATGGATACTGTTCTAAATGGGTCCGGTAGTGATTGATGAAAAGCGACAACTAATTTTATGTTACTTTATAAGGTAATCGTTTTACAGGTCACTGGCAACTTAGTTATAATACTATATACTTGAAAACTGTAGAATTGACGTAACGTGAAAGTAACCACAGCATTTTGTCTCTATAATTTGATTTTGTATATGTTCACAATGTTTAGCCCATTTAATTCGTTCTTTTTGATTATAATGAATTTGATTTTTTTAAATATAGCTAATCGCGTTACTTTAAAATTTTTTTTCAATTAACTTAGAATCTCATTTGAAGTAAAATAATATTTTTTGCTAGTTCTTGTTTTCTATGTATTAGCCTAAAATATGCGAGGTCAAAAGTAAAGTATGCCACCTTATGACCAAAAATTGTCCAAAACGACCAAAACTGGTTAAGTCTCTGGTTCGGTTGACTTTTTACCGAAAATATCGGTCAATGTGTGAAATATATAATTGAAATTCAGAGAGTAGTATAGTTTGTCTGTATGTCAAAAATGGGTTAAATCGGGCGAATAGTCCCCTTAGCCCTTATATACCTAACATAAATTTTTGAACTTTCGGGTGACTTTATACCGCATATATCGCCCAATATGTAACTTATCTCAATGAAAATAAGTAATAAGGTTTTACTCATAAGAGTGCCTAAAATTAATAAAATTGGGAAAAATCTTGACCTAGGCCTCATATAACTAATATCAGAATTTTCGAGCATCCGGCTGACTGTACTCCATATGATTGGTGATGGTATGTGAGAATGAAACC